AACCCTAAACTCTAAACCTTAAGCTCTAAACCACAAACCCTGCACCCCAAGCCCCCTTTCTCTCCCTACCGAAGATCCCGAGGTTGGGAGGTGGCATGCGCTCTGCTCAGCTCAGCAGACTCCTTCTCCCTGGCCCCCGATACTCAGCTCTAGGGTCATAGGGTTCAGGGTTTAGGGTTTAGAGTTTAGGATTTAGGGTTTAGAGTTTAGGATTTAGGGTTTAGAGTTTAGGATTTAGGGTTTAGAGTTTAGGATTTAGGGCTGAAGGTTTAAGGGTTTAAGGGTTAAGAGTTTAGGGTTTACGGTTTAGGGTCTGCGTCGAGAGGTTTAAGGTTGAGGGCTTAGGGTTTAGAGGGGCCTTCACAATTAGAGTGGGGTTTTGGCGTAAGTTATGTTAGAGTTGCAATATAAGGAACCCCCAAAATAGTAAATTGGCTTTAAGGTTTAGGGTTTAGGGTTTAGGAGCTCTGCTTCGAGAGGCTTTAGGTTCAGTTTTGGGGCTTAGGGTCTTGCGGTTCGGGGTTTGGGGTTCAGAGGTTTATAATATAGGGGCCTTAATGATTAGAAAAGGGTTTGGGGGTATATTATACTATAATTATATGCTGGAATCCCCAAGACCCTGTTCTAATTCTTGAGGCCCCTACATTAGGGGTTAAAGGTTCAAGGGTTTCAGAGATTGTGGCTTCTACCAGAGGTTGGTACACAGCTTGAAGCGTCACATCGGTTCGAAGCCTTATGATCTGTTGGGGCAGCTTTCAATCGGGTCCGAAGCCTAAACCCTAATCCCTGTAATAGAAGGGCCTTAGTAGTTGGAGTAGTGTTTTGGGGCCCATTATACTATAGTTATAATAAAGAACCCCCAAAATAGTATAGGTAATTATGTAGGCCCCGACATTACACCCTAAACCCTGAGCCCTAAACGTTTGCAGAAAGCCCAGCTCCGAACCTCAGTTAAACGCTTTGCAGAAGGCACCTGGCCACACTACCCCCCTATATAAACTCTATCTGAACCATGTAAAGCCACCTTGTTTAGGGTTCGTTATCTTATTTCTTGATATACATACTTGAAAAAGGCAGGTTGTAGGTGGGTTCAGGTATGCCATAGAATCCAAGGACACTTGTTGCATCAACGCGGCCATCAGCGCATGCGAGAATGCTGGGGTTTGGGAGCATGCGCTTTCTTTGCTGTCCTTGCTTTGGGGGAGGACCGTTGAAGCGTTGCGGTGCGATCAGGTAACGATACCATGGAGTATCGTAGCCTGCCGTGATTTGTTACACAACGTATTGGACTGTTCCAGCTGATTTCCGTCACATACAGGAGAGCTGCTAGCGTCGTGAGCTTCAACACCGGCATGAGTGCTTGCAGCTCGTTGGAGCAGCAAGCAGTTTCCGATGTGTGCATATATATATATACATACATATATATATACACATGTAACAAGTCACGGCGAGAGAAGCCCTAAGAACTGGAAAGGAGGTGCAACCCGAAGCTAATGTAGAAGTCTGAATAATTATCAACATTATTGGTCACGGATCCTTGATACAAATATGCCACCCCCCATCCCCAGTCAAAGTATTAAGGCCCCCATACTATCCACCAGAAGTCTTCTTGGTTTGTCGCGGTTGCCATTACCCCTCAACCCTCAACCCCCTACCCTCAACCCTAAAAACTAAACCCTCAACCCTAAACCCTCAACCCTAAACCCTAAACCCTCAACCCTAAACTTCCGCGAACACCCCGAGCCCCTACACCCGAAACGCTACATCTCTCTGCCCAGGCAAGGTGCAGTGGAGGCATTGCCTCTAGGGAGCCCATGAGTACCCGTTTTTCCTTTCGTCTTGGGGTCTCTTCACTACAACTGATTCGTTGCAATTGAATAGCAGGAACTGGGGTACCCATTTCATAAATTTAGGGTTAAGGGTTAAGGGTTGCCCTAAACCCTAAACCCTAAATGCTGGGAAAGCTAGGCCTGCGACTCTTCTGGGACATGGTCCAGGGAAGCCTATCCCCGGACAGTGCGACCTTCAACGCGGCGGTCACTGCCTGTGTGCCTCTTCAGAGGTTAGGGTTTAGGATTCTAAACCCTACCCGGAGCCTATGAAATCTGCCTCTTTAGGGCTCCTTGTTATGATTTCTTTGTATAAGCCCTGAAGAAGGTCGGTTATTTCAGGGTTAAGGTAAACCCTAAGCTCGAAGCTTCCATATGGCAAGGGCATAAATGGAAGTCTGAGGTGACCGGGGGGGAAAACAAGAAGTTATGAGGAGGCGAACAATCGTCAGCCTGGTTGTCCTAAACCCTAAACCCTTAACCATTTTGGAGTAGAAGGTATCGACCCGTGGAACGACCAGAGCCCGAAAGCACCAGCTGATCTCCTTTTGCATGTCCTTACAAAGGTAGGACTCAGGTATCGTAGTATTGCTTAAACTCTAAACCTTAAACCCCTAAACCCTAAAACCCCAAAACTCCAAAACCCTAAACCCTAAACCCTAAACCCCAAAACCCCAAAACTCCAAAACCCTAAACCCTAAACTCAGATGACCCTGATCTGCCTCTCTAAAGCCAGACCGCTAAGCAACAAGCTCAAGCGTGGGGCCATCGGGATTCTGGGTTCCCGCTTGGGATTCCTTGGCGAGTTCCTTTCATGGTTCCTTTACGGGTTCCCCAAAGGGTTCTGTAATGTAAGGTTTCTATGAACCGTTTTTGTGAGGGTTTTGTTTGCGCAGTTGTCAAACCACATTTTGGGAGCTCCTTAGACTCAACTGAAGATCGCCTCTCAGCAACAGGTTTTCCAAAGACACTTGCAAAAGCACCCATGCAACTGGCATGAAAAGACCAGCTGGCTCCTGATACATAAAGATTACAACCCGAAACCCCAAACCCTATAGTTGCCCTCCATACAAATTGAAGACACACCCCTGAACCGTAAACCGTAAGCCCGTTGGTTTCTGCTTCGCGAATCTTCGCATGAACTTGAGCAACCCTAAACCCCACACCCTGAACCCTAAACCCTAAACCCTGAACCCCAGGAGCAAGGTGGCCAGTGGCAACGACTCTTGTGCCTGCTCAAGGAGATGGATGTGAGAAATATTGCGAAGGAGGGGGCTTGTAGGGTCTACCCCACAGGCCCCATAGTATATAGTTCCTTTTTGGGAATACCTTATAGGATTCGAAATATGAACCCCAAAAACGAACAACTATGGGGCCTATGGGTAGGTCTAGGGGCTTAGGGCTTTAAAGGCTTTAAAGCATTGAGGGTGTGCGGTTTTAGGGCTTTGAACTTTGCTGTCTAGGGTTTAGGAATCTTGGGCGTTCGGCTTTAGGAGAGTTGTAGGAGATGGTTTTCTCTCAGCTTTCGTCTGAGCCAAGAAGGATAGTTATGACAATTCCTACTTTCATGACCTTCTTGCAGACTGCGCATGGTTTGTCAGAACATGCATCGCCCTAAACCCTAAACCCTAAACCCTAAACCCTAAACCCATCGCCTTGAACACGTTGCACGACAAAAGTCTCGGGAGAGAAAGACAAAAGTCTCGTTGCCGATCTTCTGGAGATGCTAGGGCTTTGCTTTTTTGGGGTTTAGGGTGGGTTTACAGTTAAGGGCCCTTCAATCACCCTAAACCCTAAACCCTAAACCCGAAACCCGAAACCCCTAAAGCTGAAACCGTACTATAATTCTCAAAGGTTACATGTCCTTTAGTTTCCCCTAGGATACTGGAGAAGTAGGAGTTTGGGGCTCATCCTTCCCATGCCGACAAGAAGCCACCTTGGACATGAACTCTTAGGGTCCACGTGCCCAAATAGTATAGGGTTTAGGGTTTAGGTTTTAGGGTTTAGGGTTTAGGGTTTAGGGTTCAGGGTTATATATATATATATATAGAAAAGATACTTTCGCCCCAAAGTACCTTAGGGGTTTAGGGTTTATAGTTATAGGCGGCCACAGTCTTTTCTACTTGGGCACACGGACTTTTAAGGGAATGTTCTGAAGGAAGTGGTCACCTACACGTCGGCTATCTCGGCATGTGCAGAGGCTTCGGCTACCGACCAGGCAGCAGAGCTCTTGAAACGCATGGAGGCAGGTTGGTAGGAAGCATACTGGAAGTCGGGCAAACACGGCCAAGTACCCGACACGAGACCCACTCCTACCGCCATCCCTCCTTTTTGTTTCTGCAGGTCGTTCACCTCCTCCCCTTTTTGTTTTTGTTTTCTCGGCTTCATTATAAGGGGGTTTAGGGGATATGCCTACCCTAGTTTTTGCTTATGTGCTTTTTTGGGGCCCTATCATCGGCATCTTTTTCGCGGTCACTTTTGGCATATGTCCCGGGCCCCGCGACCCCTACACCCTAATTGGGTTTAGGGTTTTTAGGGTTTTAGGGTTTAGGGTTTAGAGCTTTAGAGCTTTAGGGCTTTAGGGTTTACGGCTTTAGGGCTTTAGGGTTTTTAGGGCTTTAGGGTTTTAGGGTTTTAGGGTTTAGGGTTTTAGGGTTCAGGGTTTTAGGGTTTAGGGCTTTAGGGCTTTAGGGGTTTGGGGTTGGGCTAACCTAAGCCCCAAGCCGTACAAGCCTCGAGCCCTGGATGGAGGCGGAGCAACTCCTTCCGAATGTCGTAACCTACGCCGCCTTGACGCCGGGATTGCGGAGCATGTCCGGCTTCGCCGAAACTTGGGGGCACTTGGAAGCACTTTTTCAGTCTTTTACATTTCCCTAAGGGTCCAAGTACCCATTATTTAAGGACTTTGGGGCCATTTTGGGTACTTAAAACCATAAATAAGGACTACTTCTACCCTTAGGGTTTTTGGATACGGTAAACCCGAAGAAGCAGCTAAACTTAACATTTTTGAAAGGTTACCAAACGGTTTAGGGTTTAGGGTTTAGGCTAGGGGCTTTGGGTTTAGGGTTTACCAAGCTCAGCATAGGAGAATCTGGTCCAAGCAGCCTTCCGCGACCTGCACTTTCTGAGAGACGCCTCCTAAGGATGTCCCGGAGGGGCCCAAGAAGCATCTACCTATGGGCTCCATAGGAGTTCCTTTTAGGGATCATTACCTTATAGGATCCTAAATATAAACCACATAAGGATCTTCGTTCTGGGGTATTTTATATGTAAGGGGGGCCTGTTCATAAGGGGGATCGCAGAAATCCCGCATTGCACGATCCTTATGTTTAGGTCTTGTTTTTGGGCCCCGATTTCGCGCACCCCAAGGACGACGCGGTAGAAGGACTCTTAGAAAAAAGGGGGATCCAGACCTCTGCCTAAACCCTAAAACCAGTCAGTTCTCAACAGGATGTGTGACAAGGGAGCCTCAGGTAATTAAGGCTCCAATATCAAGGAGTCCAATGATGACATCGAGCCTCTTTTTGAAGGAAGCGGTTTTGGAGTCTATGAAGTACGTTGACCCGGTTTAGGGTTTAGCTCTGAGAGCTTCGGATGTCCTATGAACCCCGATAAACCCCTTATGAAGCCCCGTAAACTTGGGGTTTAGGGTTTAGGGTTTCGGAGGATTAATTAAAGCACCGGCTTTGGATGTCGGGATCCTCACTGACGAAAGCTTGCATCCTTTCGAGATCATCCTGACGGGAGACGGAAAAAATCTCGTAGCCCCTCACGTGGAGGAGGCGACTGTTGGCCACATGGTTGTTTCGCAAGGAGCTAATGATGCAACCCCCAAAAACACGAAAAACCCTATAAATCCCAAAAGCCCGGCACCGAATCCTGTATCATAGACCTGTATCCAGACATTTCTGACTCCTTCATCTGGCCTGTCCTTATTGCCCCTTGGGCTTGGAAGGCCTTAGGGTTCTTGCCTCCGCAAAAGCCAAAAAAGCCCAAAACCCGAAAACCCTAAATATGCATTTTGGGTCGGACGGACCGGGAGTGACATGCTCATCTGCGTCTTCTGACCACGAAATCCCAGGTTCTTTGGCCAGCTGGATGGAGATTCCCTTAATCCCTACCTGAGCCCTAAACCTTACAATGGTTTCCCTATACAAACCCTTTCAAAAGGTAGGTTCTTTCGGGTCCAGGCAAACACCACCCTGAACCCTATAGATCCCTTTAAGGGAGCCCTTACAGATCCCACTTCAAGGAACCCTCAACTGTCTTTGGGTTTGGGGTTTAGGGTTTAGATTTTGGGCTTTAGGGTTTATTTAGGGCTTATAGGGTTTATTTAGGGGTTTCGGGTGTAGTTTTTAGGGTTTCGGGTTAGTTAGGCTTTCGGATTTAGGGCTCGACACACAGTCTAAATTTCAACGATAGTCTCCGTGGTAGTTCCTTTTTGCGGTTACCTTTCATCATCCTATAGATGTAGAGTTCAATGTAAACGAGAAAAGGAACTACAATGGAGACTACAGGTAAAGTTATCAACGACATCAACATTAGTTCTTGTCTTCCAGAGACCCTAAACCTACGGTAGAGCTGCACTCTGACCTGCAGAAGCAGGTTGTCTTGGGATGCTTGCTCAGGAAAAAGGTCTTTAAAACGGCCAATGGTAAACCCCAATTTCTACGCCTTCTTTGATCGAGCTTCCGCCAGGTGCCTCAGGTCCAGATAGTAGACAAGGACATCGAGGTCCCGGTTCCGCAGCCCGGACGCAGCTACAGGTGTTCAAAATAGAGAACCCCAAGCCTGAAACCCTCCAGCCTCCACCCTAAACCCTAAACCCTAAACCCCCCAATCGATTGCAAAGCGCCTTCTGCTAAGGGTGCACCGACACGTGCCTCTCATCCAGAAGGCTGCTTCCAAGGGGTTTGTTTAGGGTTTAGGTTAAGGGTTTCAGATTTCATCAGACAGAGTTGCGGGTTTGATTGGGGTTTAGGGTTTAGGGTTGAGGGTTCAGGGTTTAGGGATTAGGGTTGGGGTGTATAGGGGCTTAGGGCTTCAGGGGCTCTGTGTTTAGGGTTTCCATGCTTTTTCGGAGAAACCCCTAGATCTAAAAGCCTAATTGGGAGCACAGGCTTTCGGACTATTCGTTCAGTTTAGGGTTAAGGCTTCAGGGCCCTAAATACTTACCAATACTATTTTGGGTTCCTTATTATAATTATAGCATAATGGGGCCCCAATTAAGGCCCCTACATGAAGGGTTGAGGGTCTTCTCGCTGCAGGCTGAGGGTTTACTTGGGATTTGGGGCATTGCTGGCATAATATAGGGGCTTGAATAATTAGAATAGGGTTTTGGGGCCCATTAAACTATAGTTATAATAAGGAACCCCCCAAGTAGTATAGGTAATTATTTAGGTCCCTACATAAGGTGGGCTTTTTATAGCAGCAGGAAGACGATTGTTATGGTGAGTTCTCTTAAATGGATAGCGTCCTTTCCCCACTACCACCCTTGGTGGGAACAAGACTGCGAGAACTGCTGTCATGATTCTGATGTTGATTTATTGCCGCACTAATATAGATGCCTCAAGTATTTCCCATAGTCTTCCTCAGTGTTCTTTACTATAGTTAGACTATGAAGGAGCCCAAAACCGTATTGAAACTATTAAGGCTCCTACAACATTCGTGTTGGTTGGAGTTTCAGAAAGGCGCCCTAATATGTATATCCAAGGCATAAAGCCCTTAACCCTAAACCCGTGTCTTCAAAACATAAGACCCGGCATAGACCCCTAAAAGAGGCCCCTACACCTTAAACCCTAAACTCTGAACCCTAAACCCTAAACTCTAAACCCTAAATCCTAAACCCTAAACCCTAAACCCGAAACCCGAACCCTAAAACCTAAACCCTAAACCCTAAACCCTCAACCCTAAACCCTAAACCCTTGCGATCCTTAGGAGCTTCTTGCATATTTGCTTCGCGGTGGCCCTTGTGCCTTAAGCCCCAAAGCCGAAGCCCTTAAAACTTAACTCGGCCCTGAACAGTAAGGTAGGGGCCTCAATAATTTGACCGTTTAGGGTTTTCGGGTTTAGGGTTTAGGGTTGAGGGTTTAGGGTTTAGGGTTTAGGGTTTAGGGTTCAGGTTTTAAGGTGTTGGTTAGGGTTAGGGTTTAGGGTTTAGGGTTTAGGGTTTAGGTTTAGGGTTTAGGGTTTAGGGAATTCCCTATACTCTTTTCTGGGTTCCTTAGTCTAGTTATACTATAGTGGGCCCCAAGACCCTAGTCTAATGATTAAGGCCCTGAGCCCTAAATCCTGAAATCTAAGCCCTCACTCCGGAAGGCAGCAGCCTCAACATCCCTCTCCCTGAATCCTACCTTTGCTGTTTTCATCGTTATTTTTTGTTTCCGGGTTTAGGAGTGGGGGTGTTGGTTGTAGGGTTTTGGGTTTGGGAAGAGGAAGTGGGCGTAGCTCTGGTAGCTCAGGAACTTGAAGCAATGGCCCAAGGAGGTGATGGATGAAAGCATGCAAAGGAAGCGGAGAAGTGGATATATCAAGGAACTGTCTTCAAGGATGAACCAGTTGAAGGAAGCTCAAGGAACAACCAACATGTTGCTCAAGAACCAGAGGTGTGAGCAGCAGAAAGAGCAGGTAGAGGCACAGCGCACGCTTAAACGCGAGTCGCTCTGGCGAGTTAAGGAACGTTTGGAGGTCCTAGAGGACCAGTTTGGCAGCTCTTCTTCTTGTTCCACCATCAATGCATCAGGTGCTGGATTGATTACAGACCCCTTAAAGGAACCCTTATAGATCCCTTTTAAGGAACCCTAATAGATCCCTTTCAGGAACCCTACTAGATCCCTTAAAGGATCCCCTTAAAGGAATGCATTGCGCGGTTCGGAACCGTGGCATGACCTTCAGTGCTTCCGCATGTAATTTGTTGTTTGTAAGCTTTGGAAGAAAAGGAAGAGCTACGTGCCCTAACCTGTAAACGTTAAGGTTCAGGAAGGGGTTAGGGTTATGGGTTTAGCATTTAGGGTTAGGGTTTAGCTTTAGGTTTAGGGTTTAGGGTTTAGGGTTTAGGGTTTAGGGTTTAGGGTTTAGGGTTTAGGGTTTAGGGTTTAGGGTTTAGGGTTTAGGGTTACGGTTTAGGGTTAGGGGTTTGGGTTTAGGGTTAGGGTTAGGGTTTAGGGTTAGGGGTCAGGGTTCGAGTTTTCAAGGCCGGGGGCTCAGTGGTTCAGGATACGTCGAAGCCTGGAGATGGCTTTTGGATTTGAATTCGTCGCAGTAGCCCCTGACTTGTGAGCTCAAAGCTTATAACCCACAAAGTCCCTACGCACGTTTTTTTTTGAGCAACCTAGGAGTTTTTCAACTATATATATATATATACACACACATACTTTAAAGGAATCATAACATGCAGGTTGCTTAGGGTCCAGGTAGTTCATGCGGAGTTTTATTTCCCTGATGAAGATTGAAAGACAGCCACAAAGGGCATGCAGGGGTTCTGAATTGCAGTAGCCATTCTGTCTTTAAGGGTCCATAGCTATGTAGCGCCTGCTTTAAGGCCAAAGCATAAACACTATGTGAGCACATGTACCCCTAGTGTGTCACGGTTGAGGGAGCCGTGTCGGAGACCTCTGGATCCATTCGAACCCTAAACCCTAAACCCCAAACCCTAAACCCCAAACCCTGAACCCCAAACCCTAAACCCCAAATCCTAAACCCTAAACCCCTAAACCCTAAACCCCAAACCTTAAACCCTACCGAGCAGGTTCAGAAGCACGTGGAGGTTCCGGTGGTAGAGACCCTCGAGAAGGTCATTGAGGCCCGTTCCCAGTTCCTGCGTGGAATTGGGTTTAGGGGTTTTGGGTTCTGGGCTGTGACTCCACCCATAGGCACCATAGTAGTTCCTGTGTGTGGCTTATGTTTAGGATCCTACTAGGTATTCCCGAAAAGGAACTACTATATGAGCATCCGTCAAAACTTCCGTAATTGTAGTTAAGGAAAGCGATAGGACCCCCCCCAAAAAAAAAAAGCGATACGTTTAAAACACACATCAGTTATGAGGGATGTGGGTTGATGTCGGTTTCGTTTGTATTGTTACTGTGGTTACCCTGTCACTGTCGTTCCTGAGAACCCTAGGTTCAGGGTCGGGTGTGGCGGTCG